TTTGAAGCAAAAATTGGATGAAGGGTGAATATGAGGAGATAACGCTGATTGCTGAGGCCCTGGAACGTGAATCTGAGAGCAGCAGGGCTTTAATTTAAGTGAAAAAAAATCTTTAAATAATTATGAGTTCTATCTTTGCTTCTTGCAGATCTCTGTGTGGTGCTGGCTAGCATCACAGTGATTCTCATTGGAAATGAAGGTCAAGTGTTTGCAGCAAGTGCAATACGGTAAAGACATCAGAACGAGTTTTTATTTAAGAAGAACTTTTTTGAACAAGCCTTGCTTTAGAGGTGTACGATTTCTACAGATCTTGAGAATGCTTCATGTCGATCGACAAGGGGGAACATGGTAAGCAATCCTTTTTCATAAAGGTTTCTAAGAATTCTTGCTAATTCAAAGTATTAAATATCCTAGAGTAAGATAATATAAGGATCGACTATACTATAAGTATTGTATTTCAGGAGGTTACTTGGTTCAGTCGTCTTCATCCATCGCCAAGAGCTGATTACAACATTGTATATAGGATTTCTTGGCCTCATTTTTTCCTCATACTTCGTTTACTTAGCCGAAAAAGACCACATATCGCCTGATGGGAAACAAGCTTTCACCAGCTATGCAGATGCCTTGTGGTGGGGAGTGGTGAGTTGACACAGCTATTTCATCCTAATCCTAAATCAAGTAAACCCAGCAAATATGGTTATTAGGTGTCTTAGACAACTCTTGCTGTTACCAAATTGCCCTTTCTTTTACGCTTTGTGAAAAAAGACTGTGAAACTCGCTGCCTTTAGTCCTCAAACCATTAGCAGAATTTGAAATAAGGGGCTTTTATTTCTTAATGATGAGCAAGATGGATTCCTTTTCTATAATAAATAAGAATATGGAAGGCTGACAGGATGACGCTGTTGAGCAGTTTCGAATAGATATACTTTCAAACTTGTTAAACTAAGTAAAACACTAGCTTTGCAACTATATAACATTTCTTTGTTGACAGTACAGGAAATTTCTAAGGAAAAAGCTATTAAGAGACCTTGTTTTTTGAAAGATTTATTACCTGGTAAATAGATAGATTTTACGAAACCCTTCTCTAGTACTTTTTTTACGATGCACATTGAATCTTAAAACTTTTAATTGGATATTATGCGACGGTGATTTTACGTTTAACCACTTCTAAAATGTTGCTTTTTTTCAAGAAAGCAGACCGTAAACGAACGCATCTTTGCAGACTAATAAATAAATGACTTAATCATTACCTAATTTTGTTTCGTGTACCAACGCTTATAACAATTTGCAAATGTGACTTCATATAATAATGTGTCATTCAGATAACAATGACGACTATTGGCTATGGTGACGTAGTTCCACAAACATGGCTTGGACGAATCGTTGCCTCGTGTTTTTCTATTTTCGCCATCAGCTTCTTCGCTCTACCTGCTGTTTGTCCATTTATTTAGCATCGTCGTGAGGGTCTTATCGGAAACTATTTCTATCAAGGGCATTCTCGGATCTGGATTTGCGCTAAAAGTTCAGCAAAAACAGCGACAAAAGCACTTCAATCGTCAAATTCCCGCAGCCGCTACTCTAATTCAGTGCTTATGGAGATGTCATGCAGCCGAGAAGAATATTGCAGCAACATGGTCGCGTATATATTTCTCCTAATTACTGACAACTTAGGTAATCGCTGTTTTTCTTCTCCTTTTCAATAAAACAATTTAGGCGAGTTCATGTGGACCCGCTAGCGGGAGAGTCGAGTGAGATCCACAGGAAGCAAAATGGTGGACCAAATGAGGATGTATTCAGCTATCGAAGAAAATTGTTCCGTAAACAGCAATCTAAGTGAGCTGTGTTTTCTTGATA